ACAGTACAGTAGGACGGTCCTTAAAACAGAGTCAGGAGTTCAGTTCAGTATGTTAGATACCCCTTAAACAGAGTCGGAGTTCAGTACTGTAGATACCCGTAAACAGGTCAGGAGTTCAGTACTGTAGATGGTCCTTAACAGAGTCAGGCGTACAGTACTGTAGATGGTCCTTAAACAGGAGTCAGGAGGACAGTACTGTAGATACCCCTAAACAGGAGTCAGGAGTGCAGTACTGTAGAGGTCCTTAAACAGAAGTCAGGGAGTACATGACTGTATACGGTCTAAAACAGAGTCAGGAGTCAGTTACTGTAGATAACCCTTAAACAGAGTCCGGAGTTCAGTACTGTAAAATACCCCCTAAACAGATCAGGAGTTCAGTACTGTAGATCACCCCTTAAACAGATCGGGAGTTACAGTACTGTAGATACCCCTTAAACAGAGTTAAGGAGTTCAGTACTGTAGATACCCCTTAAACAGGAGTCAGGAAGTTCAGTACTGTAGATACCTTAAACGAGTCAGAGTTCAGTATGTAGATGGTCCTAACACGGTCAGGAGTTAAGTACTGTAGATGGGCTCTAAACAGAGTCAGGAGTTACAGACTGTAGACGGTCCTTAAACAGAGTAAGAGATGACGTACTGAGACGGTCCTTAAACAGAGTCAGGAGTACCAGTACTTGGCAGATAAACCCCTTAAACAGACGTCAGGGATACAGTCTGTAGATACCCCTTCAAAACAGAGTCAGGAGTTCAGTACTGGTGAGCACGGCCCTTAAACAGAGTCAGGAGTACAGTACTGTAGACGGTCTTAAACAGGAGTCAGGAGTACAGTACTGTAGATACCCTTAACAGGATGTCAGATTCAGCTACTGGAGATACCACTAAACAGAGTCAGGAGTTCGTACTGTAGAACCCCTTAAACAGAGTCAGGAGTCAGTACTGAGATGGTCCTTAAACAGAGTCAGGAGGTTACAGTACTGTAGACGGTCCTAAACAGAGTCAGGAGTACAGTTACTGTAGATGGCTTAAACGAGTCAGGGTATACCAGTACTGTAGACAGTCATTAAAACAGAGTTCAGGAGTTCGTACTGTAGATTAAGATACCCTTAAAAAGAGTCCGGAGTTCAGTACTGTAGATACCCTTAAACAGAGTCAGGAGTTCAGTACTGTAGATACCACCTTAAACAGAGTCAGGAGTACAGTACTGTAGATACCCTAAACAAGTCAGGAGTCAGTACTGTAGATGGCCTTAAACAGAGCAGGAGTTCCGTAACTTTAGATATCCCCTTTAAACAGAGTCAGGAGTACAGTATGTAGACGTTCACTTAAACAGAGTCAGAGTTCAGTACTGTGACGGTCTTAACCCAGAGTCAGGAGTAAAGTTTAATGTAGATGACCCCGTAAACAGAGTCAGGAGTTCAGTATGTAGATTGGTCTTACACAGAAGATCAGGGAGTTCAGACTGAGATGGTCTAAACAGGAGTCAGGAGGAGACAGTACTGAGACGGTCCTAAACAGAGTCAGGAGTACAGTATGTAGAGTACCCCTTAAACAGAGGGTTCAGGCGTTCAGTACTGTCGATGGTCCTTAAAACAGAGTAGGAGACAGTACTGTAGACAGTCCTTAAACAGAGTCAGGAGTTCAGTACTGTAGATACCCGTAAACAGAGTCAGGAGTTCAGTACTGTAGATAGATTTACCCTTTTAAAAAGAGTCAGGAGTTTCCAGTACTGGAGTACCCTTAAAACAGAGTCAGGAGTACAGTACTGGAGAACCCCTAAAACAGAAGTAAGGGAGTTCAGTACTGTAGATGGTCCTGAAACAGAGGCAGGAGTTCGTACTTAGATGTAGATACCATTAAACAGAGTCAGGAGTACAGTACTGTAGACGGTCCTAACCAGAGTCAGGAGTTCAGTACTGTAGACGGTCCTTAAACAGAGTCAGGAGTACAGTCTGTAGATACCCCTAAACAGAGTCAGGAGTCAGTAAGTAGATACCCTTAAAACAGAGTCAGGAGTTCAGTATGTAGATGGTCCTTAAAACAGAGTCAGGAGTTCAAGTTACTGTAGATGGTCCTTAAACAGAGTCAGGAGTACAGTACTGTAGTAACCCTTAAACAGAGTCAGGAGTTCAGTACGGTAGATGGTCCTAAAACAGAGTCAGGAGTTCAGTACTTTAGATGGTGCTTAAACAGAGCAGGAGTTCAGTACTGTAGATGTCCTTAAACAGAGTAAGGAGTTCAGTACTGTAGATACCCCTTAACAGGTCAGGAGTTCAGTACTGTAGATACCCTTAAACAGAGTCAGGAGTTCAGTACTGTAGATTACCCCTTAAACAGAGTCAGGAGTTCAGTACTGTAGATACCCCTTAAACAGAGTCAGGAGTACAGTACTGTAGATACCCCCTTAAACAGAGTCAGGAGTTCAGTACTGTAGATGGTCCTTAACAGAGTCAGGAGTTCAGTACTGTAGATACCCTTAACAGAGTCAGGAGTACAGTACGTAGACGGTCCTTAACAGAGTCAGGAGTTCAGTACTGTAGACGGTCCTTAAACAGAGTCAGGAGTACAGTACTGTAGATACCCCTTAAACAGAGTCAGGAGTTCAGTACTGTAGATGGTCCTAAACAGAGTCAGGAGTTCAGTACTGTAGATGGTCCTTAAACAGAGTCAGGAGTACAGTACTGTAGATACCCCTTAACAGAGTCAGGAGTTCAGTACTGTAGATGGTCTTAAACGAGTCAGGAGTTCAGGATTAGGATGGTCCTTAACAGCGTCAGGAGTTCAGTACGTAGATTGGTCCTTAAACAGACAGTCAGGAGTTCCAGTACTGTAGATACCATTAAACAGAGTCAGGAGTTCAGTAACTGTAGATTTCCCCTTTCTAAACAGAGCAGGAGTTCAGTACTGCTAGCTTACCCTTAAACAGAGTCAGGAGTCAGACTGTAGGTAACCTTAACAGAGTCAGGAGTTCGTACTGGAGATACCCCTTAAACAGAGTAGGAGTTCAGTACTGTCGATAACCCTTAAAACAGAGTCAGAGTTCAGTACTGTAGATAGATGGTCCTTAAACAGAGTCGGAGTACAGTACTGTAGACGGTCCTTAAACAGAAGTCAGGAGGAGAGTAAGTACTCTTAGATACCCTTAAACAGAGTCAGGAGTCAGTATGTAGATGGCCTTAAACAGAGTCAGGCAAGGGAGTACAGTACTGCTAGACAGCCTAAACAGAGTCAGGAGTTCAGTACTGTAGAACCCTTAACACAGAGTCAGGAGTTCAGTACTGTAGATACCCTTTAAACAGGCGGCAGGAGTCAGTAACTCGTAGACCCTTAAACAGAGTCCGGAAGGACAGTACTGTAGATACCCCTTAAACAGAGTCAGGAGTTCAGTACTAGATTGGTCCTTAACAGAGTCAGGAGTTCAGTACTGTAGAACCCCTTTTTAAAACAGAGTAAGGAGTACGTACTGTACAGGTCCTTAAACAGAGTCAGGAGTTCAGTATGTAGACGTCCTTAAACAGAGCAGGAGTACAGTATGTAGATACCCCCTAAACAGAGTCAGGAGTTCAGTACTGTAGATACCCTTAAAAAAGGAGTCAGGAGTTCAGTACTGTAGAGGTCTTACACAGATCAGGAGTCAGTAATGTAGATGGTCATTAAACAGAGTCAGGGAGATACAGTACGGTAGATAACCCCTTAAACAGAGTAAGGAGTTCAGTATGTAGATGGTCTTAAACAGAGTAGGAGTTCAGTACTTAGATGAGTCCTTAAACAGAGTCAGGAGTTCAGTACCTGTAGATGGTCCTAAACAGAGTCAGGAGTCAGTGACGTAGATACAACCTTAAACAGGGTTCAGGAGTTCAGTAATGTAGATACCCCTTAAACAGAAGTCAGAGTTCAGTACGTAGATACCCCTTAAACAGAGTCAGGAGTACAGTACTGTAGATAACCCTTAAAACAGAGTCAGGAGGTCAGTACTGTAGATGGTCCTTAAAACAGAGAAGGAGTACAGTACGGTAGACGGTCCTTAAACCAGAGTCCAGCAGTACAGTACTGTAATACCCCCCTAAACAGAGTCAGGAGTACATTACTGTAGATACACCTTAAAACAGAGTTCAGGAGTTTCAGACTGTAGACGGTCCTTAAACAGAGTCAGGAGGACGTATGTGACGGTCCTTAAACAGAGTCAGGAAGTTACAGTACTGTAGATACCCCGTAACAGAGCGGAGTACAGTATGTAGAACCCTAAACAGAGTCAGGAGTTCAGGTACTGTAGACGGTCCTTAAACAGAGTCAGGAGTTCAGTACTGGTATACCCTTAAAAGAGTCAGGAGTACAGTACGTAGATTACCCCTTACTAAACAGGTCAGGAGTTTCAGTACTGTAGATGGCCTTAAACAGAGTCAGGAGTTTCATTACTGTAGATACCCTTTAAACAGGTCAGGAGTTCAGTACTGTAGACGGTCCTAAACAGAGGTCAGGAGTACAGTTACTGTAGACGGTCCTTAAACAGAGTCAGGAGTTCAGTAATGTAGAACCACTTAAACAGAGTCAGGAGACAGTACTGAGACGGTCCTTTAATTCTTAAACAGAGTCAGGGTTCAGTACTGTAGCCGGTCCTTAAACGAGTCAGGAGACAGTTTACTGTAGAACCCCTTAAACAGAGTCAGGAGTTCAGTACTGTAGATAACCCTTAAACAGATTCAGAGGTTCAGTAATGTAGATGGTCTAAACAGAGTCAGGAGTTCAGGTTACTGTAGCTGGTCCTTAAACAGGTCCGGAGTTCAGTACTGTAGATACCCCTTAAACAGAGTCAGGAGTTCAGTACTGTAGATACCCCTAAACAGAGCAGGAGTTCCGTACTGTAGATGGTCCTTAAACAGAGTCAGGAGTTCAGTACTGTAGATACCCCTTTAAACAGAGTCAGGAGTTCAGTACTGTAGATACCCCTTAAAACAGAGTCAGGAGTTCAGTACTGTAGATACCCCTTAAACAGAGTCAGGAGTTCAGTGCTGTAGATGGTCCTTAAACAGAGTCAGGAGTACGTACACTACCCAATACCATAGAGTTGGATAGAGGGCACACTTGGACCAAAGTCTGGAGATGGCCCTCAACGGCGCTGCCCATGCTGTCACAGAAGTGGCCGTTGCAAAGATGGGGGATGAGCTCTCCAGCCCTCACAGTGAAACGTGTCAAATAAAGAGTTGAGCAATCAGCATTTAAACAAAAATGCATTCGTTTTACAATGAAGTAACCGTGTCCTCCTGTCTCTCCTCAGTGAAGAACGTAGTTGGCGTCATCGCCAGGTACATGGCGGCCCTGCAGGAGTTCAGGCGCAGTGTCTCCATGAAGGTGGCGTTCGACCGGGTGGGCGTTGACCGTAACACCATCTCGCGGACGGCAGCCATCGCCGAGTTGAGCCTGGCCGCTCCAGAGGTGTGTAATTCCTTTTTACCGTCCGCTATCAGATATTTTAATCAGGAATGTTTTTCAATGGAGTCTTCCAATTGAGCTTGCTTTTTAGTCTGGGGACTAGGTTTTATAATTTGAGTATTTCATTGTATTTATTGGTGTTGTATGTATTAGCTGGTGCAAACAAATTTCCCCTTTTGGGGGATTAATAAAGTACTAATTTATCTTAGGTGTTCCACGCTCTGCCGCCGTGGGACGAGAAGGAGGAGACGCTGGCTCACTATTCCCACCGCTGCCGGCAGGCCATGGACGACACCATCAGAGCCAAGATCAAAACCATGAAAACCAAGGGAGACCTGCTGCCTATAGTCAGCAAATAATCCCAGAGACGGAAGGTGTGATGTGGATTTTTACATTCTTTTTTTTTTTTTTTTTTTTTTAGATAGATAGATAGATACATCGCTGTTGCTGGGCAAGAACTGAATCGGTTCCGCTCACTGGGTTTGTGTGTGTGTTAAATGGGCATCTAACCTGTGTTCGGGTCAGATTCTACAGTTGTCTTATCTTATCAGTGACTGAAACCAGACTGTGACCCTGTGGCTCTCCTTGGGCGTCTTCTTGATTAATTACAGCATGACGGGAGGGGAGAGAGGGGTTGGGCTTGGGTATGTTTGGGAGATTGATTGTGGACAATCAATCTCCAGGTCAAGCCAGGGTGAGCCGGGGTTGAACAGAGTTCAAACTGAACATGATTTTGCTTGACAAGGTTTGATTGGTCGCACCACCGTTGTTTCCAAACTGAATACATAGAGGAGAAGTCCGATTTCGGCACTATCATAAACTAAGGAAGTGGGCGGAGCGGTCAAGAGGTGGAAACTGGAGACAGTGGTGGTGGAACCAAAGAGGGAGGGGTTAAGCTAAAATGTATGTAAAATGACTATATAAACTGAGAGCTGGGAGGTGGAAAAGGAGATGCTCTGCAGACCACCTCGGCTTTGTCCACTGTAATAAAGTCTATCTTAATTCTACAAAAACTCTGGAAATACTTTGGTTCTTTGATCAGTATAAGGACGAATTTGCCACAACAGGTGATGATGCCTGTAAGAGAAGACCGACCAATACCATGTGCAGTAAATTACCTGCTCGGTGTTTTACGAACGATGGGAATTTAACATGTAGAATCGTCAGGAAATGAACAGAAAATGACGGCCGACGTTCTGTGATCAGAATCGATAGGACAGCCACCTGCTCTGTACGGTCTGTCTTGTCCTTATGATAAAAGCCTGGTCCCAGGTCTGTTTGTGCTGTCATGCCAAGTTGGTAAGACAGCACAAACAGGTCTGGGACCAGGCTTGTCCTCTGATCCCCAGTGATGCTCGACTGCCATTTTCAAAACAAGTGAAATGTTCTTATTGCTCCATTCCATATATTGTCTGTCCAACCCCCATCACCTTAACCCACCAATGATGACGCACCATGACTCATTAAAAATCATTGTCGTGCACATACATGCTTGATTTGCTGTTCATCATTTACTGTAATGTGATGTAGGATGATGTGTTAAAGCGTTGACGTTTTTTTAGTAGTGGAGAACAACATTGGAAAATACTATTCAAATAAGAATCTTATTTTTGTTAAAAGGGATTCTCCGGTACTTTTTAGCCAGTAGTTCTGAAAGTAGTGCTCATGAGCCAAAAGTGGTTCCCCGAAAATTGCGTTCTACGTCACGTGTGCGCACGTCTCTCGCTCTGCTGTTTGTGCATCTTGCTAGCTGTCACCCAAATGGCGAAGAGTTGAAGCTCATTGGCTAGAACTTGAACTGCTAGAGGGCTGGCTCAGGTGGGGGAAAATGTAAGGATAATGGCGCAGCACAGCTTCCAGAAAAACAGTCTCTTTCAAACTAGGGATTTTAGGGCTAATTGGGATGAGAGGTTGTGTATTGATATTCTAGTTTGTCCCTTTAGGGCACCCGTAACCCCCCCCCCCAATGTCTTGTCCTGTGAAATGCATTAAACAATGCCCACGTTAGTTTCTACTCCCGTCTCATGTCCTGTCCTTATAGTATTAGTAATACAGTGGTGCTATACAACAACACTGGCGACGAGGAAGAAACGTTCTCATGTTTGTGTTTTATTATTTTCGGTAAAAAGTATTGAGTTTAATTAGAAACTTGTAGATAGCCAGTCAAGAGTAATGCTAGCTAGCTAACTTCCGTTGCACTGGAATCGGTGGTCAGGGGTCAGAGGTCAGAGTAAGGGACCGTCTAAAAAGTGTGAGGAAGAAAAATAAACTGAAAATGTACCGGTTGGAAATATAGGAACATGATGAATCTGTGGAACAATGGAGTTCTTACACAGAACGTTTTGAGTACGTTGTGTTGGCGAATGGAATTAAAGCAGAAGTAGTTGTGCCAACATGTTTGACTGTTAACGGAGGAAAAACATTCAATCTACTGCGCAGCCTAGTAACGACTGAAAAACCTAGTGATACATCATATGATGAAATTGTGGCTACCTTAAAAGGACATTCTCCCAAACCACTGATCATAGCAGAGAGATTCAGGTTTCATAAGAGAAATCAAGAGGGGGGCGAGTCAATCTCACAGTTTGTGGCTGCATTAAAACAGTATCTGAACGCTGAATTTGGGTGATCACTGATTGACTCTATACATGGTAGGTTAGTGCGTGGCATGCGCAGCAAGGCAATTCAGAAATGCCTTTTGACAGAGTAATTTAACATTGCAGAGTGATAGAAGTGAATCAATGGAAATGGACACTGCAGTGATTCACCAAGCCATGCTGTCGCTGTGGGAAACCAGGTCACCAAGCCATGCTGTCGCTGTGGGAAACCAGGTCGCCATGCCATCGCTGTGAGAAACCAGGTCACCAAGCCATGCTATCGCTGTGGGAAACCAGGTCACCAAGCCATGCTGTCGCTGTGGTCACCAAGCCATGCTATCGCTGTGGGAAACCAGGTCACCAAGCCATGCTATCGCTGTAGGAAACCAGGTCACCAAGCCATGCTGTCGCTGTGGGAAACCAGGTCACCAAGCCATGCTATCGCTGTAGGAAACCAGGTCACCAAGCCATGCTATCGCTGTGGGAAACCGGGTCACCAAGCAGAGGAGTGTTGGTGCAAAGACTTAGACTGCAGAAGTTGTGGCAAAAATGGTCACATCGAACGTGCACGTAAAGACAATCAAACAAAGTACTGAACAAAGGAAAAGCGACTTCAGGAAGTACAAAAAGTCCATAAAATGGAGCACACAAAGGATTACCAAAGTGATACCCTGTCTGAAGCTGAAGGATCTTAGCATGTTTTGTCCATTTCAGACAATGGACACATACAGGGTGACACCGCTACTGGATGGAAAAGCAGTATGGATGCAAGTGGACGCTGGAGCAGCCGTATCTAAAGCAGTATGGATGCAAGTGGACACTGGAGCAGCCGTATCTAAAGCAGTATGGATGCAAGTGGACGCTGGAGCAGCCGTATCTAAAGCAGTATGGATGCAAGTGGACACTGGAGCAGCCGTATCTAAAGCAGTATGGATGCAAGTGGACGCTGGAGCAGCCGTATCTAAAGCAGTATGGATGCAAGTGGACACTGGAGCAGCCGTATCTAAAGCAGTATGGATGCAAGTGGACGCTGGAGCAGCCGTATCTAAAGCAGTATGGATGCAAGTGGACGCTGGAGCAGCCGTATCTAAAGCAGTATGGATGCAAGAGGACACTGGAGCAGCCGTATCTAAAGCAGTATGGATGCAAGTGGACGCTGGAGCAGCCGTATCTAAAGCAGTATGGATGCAAGAGGACACTGGAGCAGCCGTATCTCTGCTGTCTGAGGCTGTATACACAGAGAAACTACATCACCTCACAGCACAGGCCACGAAGAACACGCTGAAAACATACTCTGGTGATACTGTTCCAGTGAGAGGAAGCGTGATTGTTACAGTGGAGCTCAACGAACAGAAGGTAAAGATACCACTCTACATCGTGAAAGGCTGAGTGGCGCAGTGGTCTAAGGCGCATCACATTTTACATTTTAGTCATTTAGCAGACGCTCTTATCCAGAGCGACTTAGTTAGTGAATACATATTTTTTTTAAATACTGGCCCCCCGTGGGAATTGAACCCACAACCCTGGCGTTGCAAACGCCATGCTCTATCAACTGAGCTACATCCCTGCCGGCCATTCCCTCCCCTACCCTGGACGAATTGTGCGCCGCCCATGAGTCTCCCAGTCGCGGCCGGCTACAGCAGAGCCTGGATTCGAACCAGGATCTCTAGTGGCACAGTTAGCACTGCGATGCAGCGCCTTAGACCACTGCGCCACTCAGTGCTAGCTGTGCCACTAGAGATCCTGGTTCGAATACAGGCTCTGTCGTAGCCGGCCGCGACCGGGAGACCCATGGGGCGGCGCATAATTGGCCTAGTGTTGTCCAGGGTAGGGGAGGGAATGGCCGGCAGGGATGTAGCTCAGTTGGTAGAGCATGGCGTTTGCAACGCCAGGGTTGTGGGTTCGATTCCCACTGGGGACCAGTAAGAAAAAAAAGAAAAAAATAGAATATGTATTCACTAACTGTAAGTCGCTCTGGATAAGAGCGTCTGCTAAATGACAAAAAAAAAAAAAAAAGGCAACCATCCAGCATTGCTAGGATGCACATGGCTGGAAAATATCAAACTAAACTGGCAGGAAATTCACACGGTTGCAAAAGAGGACACAAACCTACAAGGGATATTGAGGAAACAGGTGGATGTGTTCAATGGGGAACTTGGCAGTATGAAGGACATAACAGTTAAATGGACCGTGAAACCAGACAGCAAGCCAAAACGCTTCAACGCTAGACCTGTCCCATACGCCATAAAACCAAAAGTTGAAACTGAGCTAGACCGACTAGTCGAGAGCAGACTATTGGATCCAGTGAACGTTAGTGAATGGGCTACAACCGTCGTTTCAGTCATGAAAAAAGATGGATCCCGCAGTCACCGTTAACCCAGTCACCGTTAACCCAGTCTTGGAATGCTGAAAAATATCTACTACCCCTCATTGGCGACCTCTTTTCTGGTTTAGCTGGAGGACAGAAATTCTGTGAGATTCTATCTACAGATGCATGCGGACCAAGAGTCACAAGAACTGTTGACCATAGTGACTCACAAAGGACCGTACAGGAACTATTGACCACAGTGACTCACAAAAGGACTGTACAGTTACCGGAGGCTTCCTTTTGGAATCACCTCAGCTCCGGCCTTGTTTCAGAGAGCTGTGGACCAGACACTGAGCGGGCTCGCTGGGGTCCAATGTTACCTTGACACTCTCATCACCGGCAAAGACGAGCAGGAGCACCTGAGAAGCCTGGACACTACACTAGACAGACTGGAGGAGTACGGTCCGAGGGTCCGGAAGGACAAATGTGTTGAGTACCCGGGCCACGTCATCGACAGCTCGGGGCTCCACAAGGCGCCGTCAAAGGTGAAGGCTGTCGCGGAAGCTCCATCCCCACAGAACGCGAGTCAGCTGAGATCATTCTTAGGACTACTGACCTACTACGCAAAGTGTGTGCCGAACCTAGCTAACATGCTAAAGCCACTGCATGAACTTCTTAACAAAACCAAACAGTGGAAGTGGACAGATAGATGTGAGGAGGCCTTCAAGAAAGTGAAAACAGCATTAGCTCAGTCAGAGGCCCTCACCCACTTCAACCCCAACTTGCCATTACAGTTGGCATGTGATGCATCGCCTTATGGTGTCGCTGTTGTCTCACACATCATGTCATCAGGTGAATGAAGGCCAATTGCTTTCACATTATGGAACTTAAGTAAAGCCGAGAGCAATTATGCACAGATAGAGTCATAGACCCCCAGCCAGCTCGCAGCCAGCGATGGGCCTTACTGTTATCTGCTCACCAGTACAGATGGTCTGAGCAGCACTGCAATGCAGACTGCCTCTCAAGGCTTCCCTTACCTGTCGCACACAGAGCACTCCCAGGCTGAAATCTACTTTAAAGGAAGTGACGAACGCCCCCAGTTACGTCTGGCCATGTCAAGAAGTTCACCCGCACTGATCCAGTGATGTCTGAGGTCGTGTACGTTGTCACTCGTGGGAAAGGAGGAGAGCTGTTGGACAGCCTTACCTGGTGAGGGAAAACGAGCTCACAGTTCAGTCTGGATGCTTGCTATGGGGCTTTCAAGTCATCATACCGCCGCCACTGAGAATGCAGCTGATTTGAAGAACTCCATTCAGGGCATTGTGGCGTGGTGCGAATGAAGGAGATTGCACACAGCTACTTTTTGGTGGCCAGGCATGGATGCAGTTATCGAAGACAAGGCCAAGTCATGTTCTGCATGTCAGAAGATGAGGAACATGCCTCAGGGACTTCCCAGAGGAGCCTTGGCAGCGAGTCCACATGGCAGCGAGTCCACATACAGGCCCGCTAGAGCAGTATTTTCCAAACTCGGTCCTTGGCCAACTTCCCCTGGGCGCAAGTTTTGGTTTTTGCCCTAGCACCAGCTGATTCAAATAATCAAAGCTTGATGATGCAAATCAATTTATAACATTTTTGACATGCGTTTTTCTGGATTTTTTGGTTGTTATTCTGTCTCTCACTGTTCAAATAAACCTACCATTAAAATTATAGACTAATAATTTATTTGTCAGTGGGCAAACGTACAAAATCAGCAGGGGATCAAATACTTTTTCCCTCACTGTATAAAGAAAAACCCTTGAATGAGTAGGTGTCCAAAATTTACCGTTCAAGAGTTTGGGGTCACTTACAAATGTCATTGTTTTCGAAAGAAAAGCAATTTTTTTGTACATTTTTAAAATAACATCAAATTGATCAGAAATACAGTGTAGACATTGTTAATGTTGTAAATGGCTATTGTAGCTGGAAACGGCTGATATTTAACGGAATATCTACATAGGCGTACAGAGGCCCATTATCAGCAACCATCAGTCCTGTGTTCCAATGGCACGTTGTGTTTGCTAATCCAAGTTTATCATTTTAAAAGGCTAATTGATCATTAGAAAACCCTTTTGCAATTATGTTAGCACAGCTGAAAACTGTTGTGCTGATTAAAGAAGCAATAAAACTGGCCTTCTTGAGACTAGTTGAGTATCTGGAGCATCAGCAATTGGTTTGATTACAGGCTCAAAATGGCCAGAAACAAATCACTTTCTTCTGAAACTCGTCAGTCTATTCTTGTTCTGAGAAATTGCCAAGAAACTGAAGATCTCGTACAACGCTGTGTACTACTCCCTTCACAGAACAGCGCAACTGTCTCTAACCAGAATAGAAAGAAGAGTGGGAGGCCCTGTTGCACAACTGAGCAAGAGGACAAATACATTAGTGTCTAGTTTGAGAAACAGACGCCTCACAGGTCCTCAATTGGCAGCTTCATTAAATAGTACCCACAAAACACCAGTCTCAACGTCAACAGTGAAGAGGCGACTCCGGGATGCTGACCTAAGCAGAGTTTCAAAGAAAAAGCCATATCTCAGACTGGCCAATAAAAAGAAAATATTAAGATGGGCAAAAGAACACAGACACTGGACAGAGGAAGATTGGAAAAAAGTGTTATGGACAGACGAATCGAAGTTTGAGGTGTTCGGATCACAAAGAAGAACATTTGTGAGACGCAGACCATATGAAAAGATGCTGGAGGAGTGCTTGATGCCATCTGTCAAGCATAGTGGAGGCAATGTGATGGTCTGGGGGTGCTTTGGTGGTGGTAAAGTGGGAGATTTGTACAGGGTAAAAGGGATCTTGAAGAAGGAAGGCTATCACTCCATTTTGCAACGCCATGCCATACCCTGTGGACGGTGCTTGATTGGAGCCAATTTCTTCCTACAACAGGACAATAATAATAATAATAATAAGCCATTTAGCAGACGCTTTTATCCAAAGCGACTTACAGTCATGTGTGCATACATATTTACGTATGGGTGGTCCCGGGGATCAAACCCACTACCCTGGCGTTACAAGCGCCGTGCTCTACCAATTGAGTTACAGAGGACCACACAATGACCCAAAGCACAACTCCAAACTATGCAAGAACTATTTAAGGAAGAGTCTATATGGAAACTAGTCTGGAGTACAGTACAGTCAGTTTGGACACACCTACTCATTCAAGGGTTTTTCTTAATTTGTACTATTTTCTACATTGTAGAATAATAGTGAAGACATAAACTATGTAATAACACATATGGAATCATGTAGTAACCAAAAAAGTGTTAAACAAATCAAAATATATTCAAAGTAGCCACCCTTTGCCTTAATGACACCTTTGCACACGCTTGGTATTCTCTCAACCAGCTTCATGAGGTAGTCACCTGGAATAAAATGCATTTATATTTTTGTTCAGTACATATAGTTCAATATTATAACCTAAGCTATGTTCATAGTTCCTTCCAGGGTTGGGTAGGTTACTTTATAAATATAATCCGTTAGTTACTTCTCCAAAATTGTAATAAGTAACGTAATTTTGGGATTACCCAAACTCAGTAACGTAATTTGATTACCTTGTTACTTTTGGATTACTTAGAATAAGACAAAAAGGATCCATCAAACGGATTTGGTGTGTCATCATAGTGGTCTCTGATTGGTGGTCATCATTTGGTGTGTCATCATAGTGGTCTCTGATTCGTGGTCATCATTTGGTGTGTCATCATGGTGGTCTCTGATTGGTGGTCATCAGTGGTCTCTGACTGACGGTCATCATAGTGGTCTCTGATTGGTGGTCATCATAGTGGTCTCTGATTGGTGGTCATCATAGTGGTGTCTGATTGGTGGTCATCATAGTGGTCTCTGACTGGCGGTCATCATAGTAGTCTCTGATTGGTGGTCATCATAGTGGTCTCTGATTGGTGGTCATCATAGTGGTCTCTGATTGGTGGTCATCATAGTGGTGTCTGATTGGTGGTCATCATAGTGGTGTCTGAGGTCAGACTCTCTCAGGTGGAACAAACTTAAACGTGCACCTTTCTTCAATGCTGAATTGAATGTCATTGAGAAAACAGAAAGGTGTCATCATGTATTTTTTCACAAACATCCTTTTTGAATTTAAAAGTAATCCAAGAAGTAATCATTTAGTTTTTCAAAAGTATCTGTAATCTGATTACAATATTTTTGCTGGTAACGTAACTGATTTAGTTTTGTCATCAGTTACCCAACCCTGGGTCCTTCTATGTTATATTAAACCCAGACGTTATATTTGTATAACGATATATAATAACAATATATTAGGTTTGCCAATCCCCAAGTAAAAGGTCCAAATGCTGTTGTTGACTTCATCTTTATTTGATTAGGCCTTAATTTATAAAAAATGTTACAAAAACGACATTGTCTGACTTCTTTCAAAACCACATAATGTACGGTGCACCATACCAAAAATAGACAGAAATAATATGACCCTCAGCTTCAACAAACAATCAGAGACCTTCTTCAAAAAGTCCTAGAGAGCAACTCGTAACAAAGAGTCTCTGTATTGTCACTATGTCTGTTAGGGAGGAAACACCAGAACGAACGCCGGCCACGCGCAGTAAATTACCTGCTAGGTGTGGACGAACGGTGGCAATTCAACAGAATAATTGGAAAATGAACAGAAAATGACGGCCGATGATCTGTGGCCCGCTGCCATTCGTCAACACCCAACAGGTGCTGCTTTTAGCTCTTTCTGCTGTTTCCTTCCTAAGGGTCTGTTATTCTGCTGGAGGAGGTGGGTCTAGTCGTGGCAGCACTGGGAGGATGAGGTTCCCGAAGGAGGAGTCTTGAGTGATGAAGAATCCAGAAGAGTGAGCATGTGCGTGCTGTAACAGAAACAGGAAGGTTAGCTACACAGTGTTTTCCACCAGTACATAGAGTAGCCACCAGTACATAGAGTAGCCACCAGTACATAGAGTAGCCAGCCAAATAGAAAAAGTAGCCAGCCAGGCGCCCCCCGTGCCGGAGGGGGGTGGCCTCCACGGTTAGATTGTGTTTGCCAAAGAAGATCTAATGTGGCGGCCTTTTGCCTTGATTCCATCCGAAATACACAGCGAAATTATTGAATACTTTTTTTTAACTTTACCTTGGAAAAAATGTGTTGTGGTATTGTGTAGAAAGACATGACTTTACAATTTAAATGACTGAAAATGTATAAATTCAGTGTTAGTTGTTTGGGATATCATCTAGGTCCCTCAAACTCAACTCTGGACCTCGAAGCCAGTTCCACTGCATTTAAAAAAAACTGTTACCCCTTAAATCAGAGACTGATTTAGACCTGGGACACACATAAAAATCAAAATAAACATTTAACCTGTCTTCTCTTGAGATTAAAGTCTTATTTACAGTTTTACTGCAAGATATGAATTGCTACGATGTTTGTTCTTCAAATTATGTATTTTATTAAAACAGAAAAATGAAGTAAATAGCCCACATTAACTTGAAAAATAAATGTAAAGGTTAAATAGAAAAAATAAAAAAGCTTATCAGTCTTAAGTATTAGATATTTCTGATTTTACATAGCCTAAATTAATTTCAAAAAATATCATTAAGTAGGGCCCTATAAAATCTGTTTACTTTTTTTGCCTGATTCCATTATCTCTGTTTTTTATCTTCCAGGTTTCTTGTCTCAAATCACACCTTTTTTTTAAAATAGAAAAACATTGGATGTTCTAAGTCCACACATATGCTTAAACCACATCAGGAGACCACTTTTGAGGTCTGGGGAAAATCTGAGAAATGTTGATTTTGCGGTGTAGTTACCCTTTAATTCAAGTTGCACACCTAGCTGTTGTTAAGCGTGTTCTTTTAGCGCACATGTGATAGTCAAATTTTTTAAACAAATACCCACTGGATTGATGAAAATAATAATGACATTCTAACAGGTAGGCATAGGCACTTTGTAGTTAACATTTAATTGAAAAGGTTTTTGGGAAAGCCTTTCCATCGACCAGAAGACCGCTTTTGTTAGCATCATCGCTAACGGCTACACGAAGTGGCATACGCGCATACCGCACACAGAGGGGGGCATACCGCACACAGAGGGGGGCATACCGCACACAGAGGGGGGCATACCGCACACAGAGGGGGGCATACCGCACACAGAGGGGGGCATACCGCACACAGAGGGGGGCATACCGCACTCAGAGGGGGGCATACCGCACACAGAGGGGGGCATACCGCACACAGAGGGGGGCATACCGCACACAGAGGGGGGCATACCGCACACAGAGGGGGGCATACCGCACTCAGAGGGGGGCATACCGCACTCAGAGGGGGGCATACCGCACTCAGAGGGGGGCATACCGCACACAGAGGGGGGCATACCGCACTCAGAGGGGGGCATACCGCACTCAGAGGGGGGCATACCGCACTCAGAGGGGGGCATACCGCACACAGAGGGGGGCATACCGCACTCAGAGGGGGGCATACCGCACTCAGAGCACACAGAGGGGGGCATACCGCACTCAGAGGGGGGCATACCGCACTCAGAGGGGGGCATACCGCACACAGAGCACACAGAGGGGGGCATACCGCACTCAGAGGGGGGCATTCCGCACACAGAGGGGGGCATACCGCAGACAGAGGGGGGCATACCGCACTCAGAGCACACAGAGGGGGGCATACCGCACTCAGAGCACACAGAGGGGGGCATACCGCACTCAGAGGGGGGCATACCGCACTCAGAGGGGGGCATACCGCACACAGAGCACACAGAGGGGGGCATACCGCACTCAGAGGGGGGCATACCGCACACAGAGCACACAGAGGGGGGCATACCGCACTCAGAGGGGGGCATTCCGCACACAGAGGGGGGCATACCGCACTCAGAGGGGGGCATACCGCACTCAGAGGGGGGCATACCGCACACAGAGCACACAGAGGGGGGCATACCGCACTCAGAGGGGGGCATTCCGCACACAGAGGGGGGCATTCCGCACACAGAGGGGGGCATACCGCACACAGAGGGGGGCATACCGCACACAGAGCACACAGAGGGGGGCATACCGCACTCAGAGGGGGGCATACCGCACTCAGAGGGGGGCATACCGCACTCAGAGGGGGGCATACCGCACACAGAGGGGGGCATACCGCACACAGAGGGGGGCATACCGCACACAGAGGGGGGCATACCGCACACAGAGGGGGGCATACCGCACACAGAGGGGGGCATACCGCACACAGAGGGGGGCATACCGCACACAGAGGGGGGCATACCGCACACAGAGGGGGGCATACCGCACACAGAGGGGGGCATACCGCACACAGAGGGGGGCATACCGCACACAGAGCACACAGAGGGGGGCATACCGCACACAGAGGGGGGCATACCGCAGACAGAGGGGGGCATACCGCAGACAGAGGGGGGCATACCGCACTCAGAGGGGGGCATACCGCACACAGAGGGGGGCATACCGCACACAGAGCACACAGAGGGGGGCATACCGCACACAGAGCACACAGAGGGGGGCATTCCGCACACAGAGGGGGGCATACCGCACACAGAGGGGGGCATACCGCACTCAGAGGGGGGCATACCGCACACAGAGGGGGGCATACCGCACACAGAGGGGGGCATACCGCACTCAGAGGGGGGCATACCGCACACAGAGGGGGGCATACCGCACACAGAGGGGGGCATACCGCACTCAGAGGGGGGCATACCGCACACAGAGGGGGGCATACCGCACACAGAGGGGGGCATACCGCACTCAGAGCACACAGAGGGGGGCATACCGCACTCAGAGGGGGGCATACCGCACTCAGAGGGGGGCATACCGCACACAGAGCACACAGAGGGGGGCATACCGCACTCAGAGGGGGGCATTCCGCACACAGAGGGGGGCATACCGCAGACAGAGGGGGGCATACCGCACTCAGAGCACACAGAGGGGGGCATACCGCACTCAGAGGGGGGGCATACCGCACTCAGAGCACACAGAGGGGGGCATACCGCACTCAGAGGGGGGCATACCGCACTCAGAGGGGGGCATACCGCACACAGAGCACACAGAGGGGGGCATACCGCACTCAGAGGGGGGCATTCCGCACACAGAGGGGGGCATACCGCACACAGAGCACACAGAGGGGGGCATACCGCACTCAGAGGGGGGCATACCGCACTCAGAGGGGGGCATTCCGCACACAGAGGGGGGCATACCGCACACAGAGGGGGGCATACCGCACACAGAGGGGGGCATACCGCACACAGAGGGGGGCATACCGCACACAGAGGGGGGCATACCGCACACAGAGGGGGGCATACCGCACTCAGAGGGGGGCATACCGCACACAGAGGGGGGCATACCGCACTCAGAGGGGGGCATACCGCACACAGAGGGGGGCATACCGCACACAGAGCACACAGAGGGGGGCATACCGCACTCAGAGGGGGGCATACCGCACACAGAGGGGGGCATACCGCACTCAGAGGGGGGCATACCGCACAAAGAGGGGGGCATACCGCACACAGAGGGGGGCATACCGCACTCAGAGGGGGGCATACCGCACTCAGAGGGGGGCATACCGCACTCAGAGGGGGGCATACCGCACACAGAGGGGGGCATACCGCACACAGAGGGGGGCATACCGCACACAGAGGGGGGCATACCGCACTCAGAGGGGGGCATACCGCACACAGAGGGGGGCATACCGCACACAGAGGGGGGCATACCGCACACAGAGGGGGGCATACCGCACTCAGAGGGGGGCATACCGCACACAGAGGGGGGCATACCGCACACAGAGGGGGGCATACCGCACTCAGAGGGGGGCATACCGCACACAGAGGGGGGCATTCTCGTTGCCTCTTCAGAAAGTTGCAGGAAATGTGAATCGCTGATGCATTCTGATCATGTCTTATGATAAACTTGGGCAAATTAATTCATTTTCAACACATTTAGTTAATTCCCTACTAAAGGTAAATACATATTTTAATATTGTTGAATTCCATTTTAATGTCTGGATTTCGTGAGGGCCCTAAATACTTGGACCAGAATGAGATTCTCATTACATTTACATTTTAGTCATTTAGCAGACGCTCTTATCCAGAGCGACTTACAGGAGCAATTAGGGTTAAGGGCCTTGCTTAAGGGCACATCGACAGATTTTTCACCTAGTCGGCTCTGGGATTAGAACCAGCGACCTTTCGGTTACTGGCACAACGCTCTTACCCACTAAGCTACCTGCCGCCCCCATTCTCCACTACCTATTGTTCCTGCAGTGATGATTCACCATCTTCATTGAATGTTTTCATGATTTATCTGCAGATAATTGATAACATAATAGATGTATTATCAAAAAGACTAGGCCTACCAGTAGTAAAGACTAGGCCTACCAGTAGTAAAGACTAGGCCTACCAGTAGTAAAAATTAGGGAACCAAATGAACATCTCCCTCACCGATGTGATTCGGTTGACGAGACGAGAGTCACTCACTTCTCTGCAAAGCCCCGACATCCTAGGAAAGGAAACCCTTTGGTTACTTGTCCAGATACCGTGGACGGTATACCGTGGACATATAACCATGTTGATTTATGAATGGCAAAGAGTTTTAGGATAGGCTTGGGCGGTATACCGTCTACCGGGGTATTTGGAAATAGCCACGGGATGGTTTTTCAATACCGTTAACTATTTATTTGAAGTGTTTTAATAAATTATAATATTTGTGGCTACTTTTTAAGTAAATACCTTAGGGCTGTCCCTGACAAAAAAATAAGTTCATCAACCGAAAGTCGTCTGTTCTTTCAAGCAATAGATTGCTAGACAAATTTAAACACCCCTATGTGTTTTAATAAAATCAACTATATGCATTGAGCTTGTATCTACTTTTATCCCATACACAGTTGCTACCCATTATTGATTGTCACTCATCCACCACCATATCATCTACCTCCTTGGTGTAGTGTGGCACCCTAGCCAGGCCATTCCATCACGCACCCATCCTAAGATTAGCACCAGTGGCCCCCAATCTATCTTGGCACACTGACCTTCTATTCCTACCTCGTGACACCACTAACACATGGTGTGTCCTTATCCTGTGTCCACATACAGCTTATGAGCTGCACATACATTAATGAATGTTGTATAACAAATCATCATAACAACACCATAGTGCCCTCAAAGCTCATCACTAAGCTACGGACCCTGGGACTAAACACCTCCCTCTGCAACTGGATCCTGGACTTCCTGACGGGCCGCCCCCAGGTGGTAAGGGTAGGTAACAACATTTACATTTACATTTTAGTCATTTAGCAGACGCTCTTATCCAGAGCGACTTACATTATTGAGTGCATACATTCTTTTTTCTTTTTTTCATACTGGCCCCCCGTGGGAATCGAACCCACAACCCTGGCGTTGCAAACGCCATGCTCTACCAACTGGGCTACATCCCTGCCGGCCATTCCTCTCCCCTACCCTGGACGACGCTGGGCCAATTGTGCGCCGCCCCATGGGTCTCCCGGTCGCGGCCGGCTACGACAGAGCCTGGATTCGAACCAGGATCTCTAGTGGCACAGCTAGCACTGCGATGCAGTGCCTTAGACCACTGCGCCATTCGGGAGACACATCTACCACGCTGATCCTCAACACGGGGGCCCCTCAGGGGTGCGTGCTCAGTCCCCTCCTGTACTCCCTGTTTACCCATGACTGCATGGCCAGGCACGACTCCAACACCATCATTAAGTTTGCTGACTACACAACGGTGATGAGACAGCCTATAGGGAGGAGGTCAGAGACCTGGCAGTGTGGCGCTAGGACAACAACCTCTCCCTCAACGTGAGCAAGACAAAGGAGCTGATCGTGGACTACAGGAAAAGGAGGGCCGAGCACGCACCCATTCACAGGGCTGTAGTGGAGTGGGTCGAGAGCGTCAAGTTCCTTGGTGTCCACATCACTAACAAACTATCATGGTCCAAACACACCAAGACAGTCGTGAAGAGGGCACGACAACGCCTATTCCCCCTCAGGAGCCTGAAAAGATTTGGCATGGGTCCTCAGATCCTCAAAAAATTCTACAGCTGCACCATCGAGAGCATCCTGACTGGTTGCATCACCGCCTGGTATGGCAACTGCTCTGCCTCCGACCGCAAGGCACTACAGAGGGTACGGCCCAGTACATCACTTGGGCCAAGCTTCCTGCCATTCAGGACCTATATACCAGGCGGTGTCAGAGGAAGGCCCTGAAAATGGTCAGACTCCAGCCACCCAAGTTATGGATTGTTCTCTCGCTCTGCTACCGCACGGTAAGTGGTACCGGAGCACCAAGTCTAGATCCAAAAGGCTCCTTAACAGCTTCTACCCACAAGCCATAAGACTCCAGCTTCAAGTTGAATCTGTGCTGGAAATTCAATACTTGACTGAGGGACCTTCCAGATGTTGTATGTATGGGGGACAGAGGAAGGGGGAGTCGTTTTAAAAATCATGTCAACCCCTATTACTTCACACAGTCCATATAACTTTATGTGATTTGTTAAGCCAAACATTACTCCTAAACTAATTTCAGCTTGCCTAAACAAAGGGGCTGAATACTTATGTAACGACTATATTTTATTTATCAAATTGTTTATAATAAAAATGTAACTTTGTAACAATAAAATGTTTAGAGGGGTCTGAATACTTTTGCAAGGCACTGTAAGCCCCAAAATAGATTGTATTTGAAAATAACATTCATTTCATGTCTTGATTACATTGACACGATCACATCGCTTAATTTTTTTGTCGTGGGAATATTTGGGAACAGATTTCCTAAATTAAACTAATTTTTAGCTGAATTCCTAGTAATTTTACAGTCTTTATTCAAAAAAAAAAAAATTAAATAAATCACTCGCATGTTGCCGAACCCTGCCTTAATGTATATATAGAGATCATGCAGAATGGCTCTGGAGCCACCTATGACCCTCTTGAAAAACTTCCGAAATGCATCCTTTCATCCTACTGTCCTTGAAGAAATCACAGATCTGTATTGGGTTGGATTGGTTTAAGTAATAGTGTGGTCACCTCGCTCACACCCGTCCAATCACTTACAGATCTATGCTTAGTCCAAGGAAACAAGGAAGGAAGGGTGCATTTCTGAAATGTTAGAATGAGGTCTCACCTGCAGAGCTGCTTTCTGCTGGGCAGCGATGTGCTGCTGCTCCGCGTGGTCTCTGAAGTCTTTATTCAGGGCTGGTCTGGAGAGAGGGATGCTGTTGGAGAGAGGGATGGAGAGATATGGGTCAGGGGCTACACTGGGGCCTATGTCCCAAACGGCACCCTATTCCCTATATAAGTGCAGTCCTTTTGACCAGGGCGCATAGGCCTCTGGTCAAAAGGAGTTAACTCTATGGGACGCAAGCAAGGTTTATATCACTGACACGCAAGATGCTTCCAGATACCTGGCTCCAGGGTTATTCATGGAGGAGTTTTGTATCAAGCGTCTCTTCTCCTTGTCCAGTTCAGCCAAAATGGCAACACGGTTCTTGTTCTGAAATCCTGAGTAGAGGGGGGAAAAAAAACATTATCAACAAAGTAATGTTACAGACGTGCAGTATCAGCACAAAGAGCTGTGGTCCAGTGCTGTTGAAGAAGACTCGCCATCAGCAAGCAGCACAACACGCCCTGGGTCAGCGCGACCTGCTAGCTATACTACCCTGCCTTTCTTGACTTACCCGCTCCGGGTGCAGGCGAGGCCATGTCGGAGAAAGTGACTGCAGCCGAAACGTTACAAAAGATAAGAGCACAGCGCTAGCTAGCTAGCATTAGCACTGGGACAGATTGGACGGGATCGGCAAAGGACAGCAGCTGTTTTCAGATGTTCACTATTGTTCAAATAGCTACGTAACTATCACAAAGAACCGTATGCTTGAGTTCCACGTAAATACTTTGGTAGATACAGGAAACAAACCGCAACAAACAAAAAAAAC